TCGTCTGCCTCCCATGCCTATTGGGAGGAAATATAAACGCTCTGGATTGTCTGCACACAGAACATTAGTCGTTAAACATGTACTGGAGGCTGAACGATTGCTTTCCTTCCTTCCTTCCTTCTTTTTTTTTTTTTTCTTCTCATTCTTCCCTCTCTTTTTCTACTCACCACGACCATTGTTCAGAAGCAAATTGGAAATCTGGTAATTAGGCCCTGACTCACGGTGTAGTATTAGAGTCCCGAGCCAAAGTTCAACACCCTGAAATGAAATTTAAACCAATTAATCTGTTAGATTTTTATCGCTTGTCCGTGTTTTCTCAGCAATTCCCCCAGCACGTGGCCTTTGATCAACTCTCATACAAACGCTAAAATGTGTGCCTGCTGCTAGCAAGATGGGAATGACATTAACATGGGTACTCATAAAACAATCAGAGCAGAGAAGCCCTCAAACAGGCAGGGCATGGTAATATTTAATAAAAGCACACACATAATCTTCAGAATTAGCATTTTGTGCCTTGCAGTACCTTTGGGAGAAGAGCTTTTATTTGTGGAGTGATCATTATTATAACAAAGAAGAGCTACCTAATAATTTCCACTTTAACTCTGTAATGTGCCACGAGCATTTCAGAGCCATTATGCTAAACTGTGGTGGGGTAATCATGTTATTGTCATAGTTTGAAGGAAAGAAAATCTCCTCTACTTTGGTGGCTGTTGGGGGGGGGGGAAGAGGTAAAAAAAAAAAAAAAGGCAAAAACCCATCAACTTCAACTTTTGTTTTTAATGAGATTTAGAATGAGGAATTGGCTCTCTGTCCTTGTGGTTACCTAGAGTGTGAAAATTCACTGGTGAAGAAGAAAGAATCTTTTATTAATTAAATCAAGACTTGGCTGGTGAAAGTGGTTTTGTATTCTAATCAAATTCACTCCCCTCCCCAATTTCATAATATTTTCATGGAGATAGAATTCTATTGATTATTACACTCCTGGGCTGAATTGAATTCATTTACAAATCTTTGCACCTTCAAATTCTACTGAACATACCCACTGTGACTATTAAAAATGATCTCTTCTTGTCTTCCTCTCCATGTCTCTTTGGCTATCCTGAGTGAAAGAAAAACAAGTCCTTGGCTGCTTCAGATGTGGTCTGAAGGACACAGGGTGTCCTCAGAGTAAAGCTTACCCAGAAAGAAGAGAGAAGGAGAGGCTCAGGATTTGTTAGTCAGCACAGCAGGGCTTTTTTTTTTTTTTTTTTAATTAGTATCAATTTGTTCTAAATAGTACACTCTTTATCTCTTACAGAATTAAATGCTCTGTTATTTAATTTTTATTATGGTAACGTATTACCTTCCTGCGTGCTCATTGAAAACATTCAAACTGTACTACTTTCTATAGAGTAAAATTTAATGGTCTCCCTGCCCCTCAGCCCCATTCCAGCCAATGACTATTTCGTATGGACCCCCTGGGGACAGTGGGTGTCCATCCTTCCAGACCTTTGTTCACATGTAACTACATACACAGAAACACAGGTGCACATACAGGCTCATACATGTCATTTTTTAAAGTAAACAGGATCACACTGTTCGTTGCTTTTTTACTTACTAACATACTTTGACATCTTTCCATGTCAGTTTATAGGAGTCTTTTCCATCCATTCTAATGATCCTCCTAATAATCTGTAGTATGGATAGACCATAATTTATTTAACCGCTCTCTAATTGGGGGCACCTAGACTCTTGAATATTTTACTGTTAATACTGCAGTGAACTTTTGGGTACCTGTAGTTTTAGGCACACTTGCAAGTTTTTCCTGGGCTGCTTTTAGTCTGGCAGGTTTGTTTGTGACTAGGATAAAAGTGTAAAATGGTGGCCTGGGAGTTAAATATAGCCAATAAATATTTTGCTTACAGCCTACACGTTCAAAAAAATTAAATTAGTTGCCGGCATTTAAAGATTGGAAAATTTGCATAAAAATCTGGTTCCCAGCTTCTTTCAAAAGATCAGAAGCCCGGACCACACTGGGCCTGCATTTGTGTAGAGGAACAAGTGGTTAGATCTTCCCCAATTCCTAATTTCAGGGGCCATCCATCTCATGTTTGTTCTGAGACTCTGAGCTGCTGTATTGACCTGTGTTTTCTGCCTTGCCTGTATGGATCTGTGAGTTTTTAACAACTGCTCCTGGACCTGCTCTGTTTAGCTAGTCACAGTGTCTTCTACCTTGTGTTCTTGACATTTTAGAGTTCTTCGTTTGGGGGGAACTATCCCATGCATTGTTGGATAGTTAGCATCTTTGACTTCCAGGCACTAAATGCCAGTAACATCCCTTCCCCATCTCTCTTTGTCAGTGGAAGAGTCCACGAGTCCTTTACCTATTTTCCAGACTTCCCAGTGGGGAAATACTGCAGAGCTTCCTCTTAAGACTGCTATGATGCACAGATGTATAGAAGCACCTTTAGAATGCTTTGAAGCCAAACTTTAGAAAGGTCTGCATGACTTCCTTATTCTAGGAATGGCATCTAGTCTCTAAGCGAGGATAACGGATGGTTGAGTATAGAGGTAGGATCCATCGAAGGGTGTGTCACTCTTTTCTTGAAGTACTTCCTTCAAGGGTTCTTTTCTCTAAAAGTTACAAAGATGGTGTCACATACTGTCTCCTCACCAGCTTATCTCTGGAAGCTTGATGATCTATCTTTCCTCTGGCTAGTTGACAGTTAGCTTTGTTTCTGGTTGGTTGCTCACAGAATTTGAAAACATTATCACTTTCTTTAGGAAGCGTGTGAAAGCACACACACACACACACACACTTACATGTCTTCTTTATCCTACAAATAACAAATGGAAAGAAGTGGGAGGGGATCAAGGCCAAAACCAGCTTGACCATGCTATCAGAACATCTTTACTAAAGGAGAGTCTCTCAAAGATACACCAACACCATTCTGCATCTTTTTGTTCAATGATAAGTAAGCCTGGAGGAGTCCCTACTTATTTAAAGAAATATCTAGAGAAAGATACTTATCTAAAGAAATTTGCATGATTACAAAAATAAAATTTTAAAAATTAAAAGAAAGCTAGTACAGATAATAAACATCAAGACTCTTTTGTTGTTTATGAGGGTAGTCACAGGGTCAGCATTTAATGATGCCATTGGATTTCACACTTTGCCATTAGTCAGGACTCTTTGAAGACCAGTTCAGTTAAACCAAGATCCTATTCTCAGAAGTATCTGGAGATATGGCACTCTCTATTCTACTCTAACAACTAAGTACTCAGTTCGAAATTAAGAATTGAGATTTTGAGACATTAACTAGAATGTTTCCAAACTGCTTTTATTTTAGGAATTCTACATAGTTGTTAAATGTACTTGATTTCTCTTACAAATTTCTTGAAATCATGCATCATATTCTGCCATTGGTTTGGGAATACTCAAGCATGCATTTAGACATCTTTACTTTTTATTTTTTTATTTATTTTTATTTATTTATTTTTTAAACATCTTTACTTTTTAAAGAAAAATTCTGCTTAAGAAAAAGTCTTGTTCCTGTGGAGCATTGATCACAACTTTTATGTGTGTTAAAAATTGGACAAGAATTTTCAAGTCATGAATCATTTACATTTTCTTGATTAATTATTTTGTTTTTGGGAGAAAGTGAAGGAGAGAAAAGGCATCTGAACTGCCCAGTTTTAGTTGTAAATGTATTACTATGAGTTCAGCCAACATGAAATGTTTAGTTTGGATATTTCCTAATTTCTCTGTGCTATTTTATAAGATGAATTTGAATCAAAATCAAATCCATTCTACTTGTTTGTTTGGTGGCACGTGAGCAATGGTCCCACCGGGCTGGGTTTAGTATTTTCTTCTCTTCTTGCAAAAGTTAAAGCATGACATTTTGCCAAATTTGACAAAGTCCAGTAGTTTTTTTTCCAGCTTTTTCCCGTTAAAATTAACTGGTGCGCTCATTGGCTTCAGTATTTGGAAAGTCAGTCTTGGATACTTAATAAACTTTTTATTAAAGAGAAGGGTCTCCTTTCCTCTCCTTGTGCAATATCTCCCTTGCTTTAGAATTTTGCTTTGTTCTTGTTCATAAAAGTAATCATGAGAACAACAACATGGCATTGTGGAGTTAAAATTCCTTGGTGCCCTCTCAGACATTTCAAAAACATAATCCTACAATTACATCTATGCCTAGCAATTCCGTTGAAAATATGCCATGCTCACCAGGCAAGCTACCTCGTCTGTTTAGAATCATGGTATTTGCAAATTATTTCCCATCTCCAAGGGCCATTTGTAATGGAAAGAGAAGAGATATGAAATTTTTAAGATGTCCATTCTAGAATTTTATGCCTGGGAATGGCAACAAAACAAAGGCCATGGGACTTTCTGTGGTTCAGCCCTGACTCAGCTATTTCGTTACATAATTCACCCGGCATGACCTGCATACTTTACATCTATAAAATGGGATCCATGACATTTGTTGAAAAAAATCTTAAAGATTTCTAATGAGAAATGTTGCTGTGTTAGTGTTACAGATAGAAGGCATGGAGCAAGAATATTTTCTTGCTCCGGCCTCCTTTCTTTCTCACTTCCCTTTGGACAGAATTGCTTATCTAAAAATCTATCGATTTTCTTTTTGGGAAGTATGTTTAATTATGAAGCAATTCGATAAGGTTTCCAATGTGTCCCAAAAAGCCACCCAATTTTTTTTTTTTATCTTTAGCATCTCATAAATTAGATTTTGCTTCTGTGTTTTATTTCATAAGATTTCAGGTTTGAAAATGATTGGGTAAAATATATGTATGTCAATAGAAACAATGAAACAAATGCTTTTAAAACTGAAATCGCACCCTTAGGTTTCAGATCCTAAAGTGGCTAGGAAATGCTGAGATCTTGGGGGACTTTCTGTTCGTGAAAAGATAAAAGATACTTTTTTTTTCTTTTTCTCAAGTCTCCATCATTAAAGTTTGGTTCTAACAGCAGACTCCTTCTCTTTTTCATGTGTGTTGAAAAGCAGCTACTCCCTGTATCAAAGCCATCAGCCCGAGTGAAGGATGGACGACGGGAGGCGCGACTGTGATCATCATAGGGGACAATTTCTTTGATGGGTTACAGGTCATATTCGGTACCATGCTGGTCTGGAGTGAGGTAGGTGTTGTCTGAACATTAATATCTAATAGGTTGGTCTGGTTGAGGATACTGTCTACACTTGAATTTCTAATAGAGTGTGTGTAGAATTTCGTGGTGCCACCCTGGGTGGGCCAGCTCTAGTCTGCAGAACTCCGGGAAACCAGGAGACATGGGTTGGGTATGCCTGGAGGCACCACTTTCTACTGGAATGATTTCCATCCTCTGCCCTGTAAGCACCAGGGGAGCTTCTGTTTTGTCCTTTGTCCTCTTACGCTAGCCAAGGTGTGGAGGTCCTATTGTATATTGGGAATTGGAAAGGAGATGCAGAGTCACAAAATATGTAGGAAAAACTCTGTTCAAACTTTAACAAGGTAGTAATCTGTGAATACTTGTAGATGGGGTCTATGGGAGGCCCATCTTCAAGGAGCACCATTCATATGACAGTAATAATGCAGGTGTAGGTGGTTCTTGACTTATTCAGTGATTCTTCATCCAAGAGTGAGGGATTTACCAGGGCAACCTCGAAGAACCAAAGGCTTTTTCCAGCCCTAAGAGTTTACAGGTCACCGGCATCTTAGTATGTGACCCCAGCCACATGAAAATGACTTTCTTCTGTGTGTGTAGTGCTTTCTAAGCACTGTGATCACTATTTTAACCTGCCAGTTGACCTGCCTGGCAATAATCCGTTACTGTTAGCTCAAGATTATAAAACACAAACATCACTATTATATAGATGCCGTGGAAAACTTGCTTTTGTTTTCTTTCTGTATTCTGAGCCTAGATTTCTTATCCAGTATGCCCAGAACCCCTTCTCTTTCACTTCCCCAAAGTTTAGAATAAAATCCATGGTAGGGCTATAAGGTACTACTGAGCTCATTCATCCCACTTGTTTTACAAGCAGTTGTGTGAATCACTAAGCTTTCTTGGGACTTACTGTACACTAGGCACTGTGCTCAGCTCTTGACACAGATCATGTCAGTCCTTCCCTCTACACCATGGGGTAAATACCCTTAGCACGTATGTGTTCTTGATAAAGACACTAAGGTTTGGAGATATATACTTACAAAACCCCAAAGCAGCTGTCCGGAGCCCATGGCGTGTGGATCATATGTGTGTAGCCACACAGAGAAGTCAGTAGCAGAACTGAAGCTAGAACTCCAATTTTTTATTTCAATGTCTAGCTGTCCTCCCCTAACACCTCTGTTCAGACCATCTAGATATCCTGTGTCTTCTCTCTAAGTGGGCTGCAGAGGTAAGCAGAGAGGTAAGACTGATCGCTGAATATGTCTACCTTCCTAAAGCAGAGGCTGTCTTTCTTTTTAGGCCTTTTGCGTGCACTTCTCACTGCCAGGAACCCACTCAGGCCAGCCCCTTGCCTGTGCTGCTTGTGTTTCCCAGGCCACCAACTAGTGGCCTGCGCTTGGCCAGAGAATCAAAGCTCTCGTAAAACTGAATCAGAGATGGGCTTCTCAGTCCACTGAACTAATTGTTGTCCAAGTTGGATGGATCATCCCAGGCATGAAAGGTGGCCTGAGCTCACGCTGCTGACTGCACCCCATTCTTTGTTGGAACCGTTGAGTTGTACAATTAGAAGCATCACATACATGGCATATTTTGCCACCAGTCTGGTGTCTTTATCCCTGCTAGAGACAGCGGTCCTCACAAGGACAGCTTCTCCCAGATCTTGTGGGCTATATGTCCATCCCTTTCTATCCCTCATTCTGTTGCTTATCATGCAAGTTGAGAGAGGGGAAGAATAAATATAATATGGACTTCTTGCTCCATATTACTGTAGTTGAAGTGAGGCCTGAGAAGTGGGATTCAGAATTGGCAGGAAGCCTTACTAAACCTCTGAGAATAAGGTGGGTTAGTCTGCAGGTTCCTTTAAAACTGTGTCTGTCTTTGCCCAACACTGCATTGGTTATGGAACAAGGGCTTTGATCTATCAGGAAATCATTAACTTGTACTTCCATGTTGTTCCTAGTCAAGGTCCTTGTGTTTCCTCTCTGTTCCCCCACATTCTTTGCCCTCTTTTGGGAACAGGTAAGGAAGATTAAATTCTAATTTAGACTCTTCTGAATTGCTTCAAAGGATCTGTTTCCATGTAACAAAATCAATGCAAGTCATGAAAAAAAATAACCCAGTAAGGCTATACCTTTGTCGTCCTCTTTCTTCAGGCCCTCCGTTGCCACTGGCTTGCATGTACCAGAAGCCCCTCACAATGAATCTCAGTGGGTCCAGCTAGGTGCTGAGGGTGGGGGATATACATGCTCCTTCTTTACCCACCTCCTCCTCCCAAACTGCTGTCATGTGTGATTATGTCATAAATCAACTATGACCCTTTCCTGGTGGAAACCTACCAGGTAGTTTCCAAAACTAGATATTATTTTAAAATAAGTAAATCCTCTGCCACAATAAGTAAATCCTCTGCCACAATAGAATTTATACACAAAATCTGAGTGGAAGATTTTGCTTTGTGTTGTTATTATAATAGTCTTAACATTCAGAAAAATGAGCCTTGCAGAGATGAACTTCTTATAAATATTCTAAACTATTTATATATTTAGATTTTCATACAGGCTATTTGACAGACATGATTTTCTCTCCCTTTTAGTGGAGGGAGAGAATTGGTACTGCTTCAAGTCCAAAAACCCATTGGATAGTAATGAGAAATTGAGAAATACCTCATGTTTATGAAGGGTTTATCATCATAAGCACTTTATGGGTATTATTTTATTTGATCCTCATGATAGCCCTGTATGATACATATGAGTAAACCGAACATCAGAGAGGTTAAGAAACTTGCCCATCATCACACAGATAGTGCTAGAGATGGCATTTATCCTACAATGGTTATTTTTACAAAGGAAATAAAAGCCCAAGTTACTGAGAGGGCAAATGGACACAGAAGAGGGGGAAGAAGGACAGAAATAGGAGAACGAAAAAAACATGCATAGTCGTCCAGGTAATAGGGTAGGAGAGCTAATAGTAATAGTAATAGTAATAGTAATAGTAATAGTAATAGTAATAGTAATAGTAACCGTGGTGGTTGTTTTTAATCACATAAAATTACATAAATGCCTTTCATTTTGGTAGAGGCAAAAAATACCCACTCGTTCTGGGGGCATTTCTGCAGGCTTCCATTGGATAGAATCAGAACTCAATACTATGAGTATTTAAGAGAGGATATCTGTGAAAGATCTGTGGAAAAATGTGTAGTATGACTAATATCAGCTAACATTCACTGAGCACTTGGTTCCTGCCAGGTACCATGCTGAGTATTTGGTATGGCTCTCCGGCGAGCATGTTGTTCTTGTTTTACTGATGAGGAAATTGAGGCTTGGGGAAGTTAAATAAGCTGTTCAGTGATCAAGGGGTGCACATGGGATTTGAACCCAGCCCCAGGGCCTCACCTTCTTAACTGTCCATGATTTAGCCTATGCCAGAATTTTTACCCTCGTGTTTTATTACAGCAGACTAGGGTGTATGCTCACCATTGCCATTGATGTCTTGTACTGTGGTGACGTGGGGATGGGTATCTTAACAATTATTATCACCTTCCAGGCTGAGGTAGACTTGGGATGCAGAGCAATAAGAGTGATCCCTTCATTTTCTGGTTGTATAGGCTTGTGGGTGGAGCCACTGGCTTCCAGGAAGAGTTTATCCTTATGAAGAATACATGCTTTGTGTTAGGGGCAGAAGACAACCTCTTCCTTGTCAATGTAGAGAACTTAGGCAGGACAATGAACCTGTTGGGGCCTCATCTCTAGATAGGACCCCTATCTATCTGGCTCTTTGTTCCCTGGCCACATGATCTCTTGAGGTTATGCCACCTCTAAGATCTAGTACTTCTAATTTTAAGTAGACTTTTATCTCTTCTCCATTTCCTCACTCTATAGCCCAAAGCACTCAGGGAGCAGGCTGGTGGGCCAGGACAAGCAGATAACATTTTAGCTTAGCAGCTGATGCTATTATTTGGAGTCTTTTTTTAGCTAAAGAATTTTAAAAAGAGTGAGAGAAAATAGGGCTGGCTTAATTGACCCTCATCTATGCTCTTTCCCTACCAACCCAATTTTTGCAAATGAGTAGTTCAGTTTAGCTCACTGATTGCCCCCTGAGGGTTGGGAAAAAGAAAGGTAGCACTCCATTGCTCCTCACTCAGGGCTGCCTTCTGTGGGCTCCCAAGTTTGGGGTGAACTACATGGCTTTCTTGTGAATTTGGTTTGCCATCTTTGTTATTCTTCCTTATTGTTTCTTGCCCTTTCTCCTCTCTGTCTTTCTAGAAAACAAATTATTATACTGATACCCTTGGGCTTCTTATCCTTTACCCAAAAGACTTAACAACAACAACAAAAATATTTGTAGTGTTTTATATATAAACCCAGGAAAATCAACAAGGTTGATGTGTGCTTGTGATTAACATGGGTTGAGCTTTTTTTCTTGATCAGAGATACACTTGGTTGTTTTTGCTTTTCCATCAACATGTGATCTGGAGGAGGGAGGGGTTCCTGCTACTAGTTTGTAGGGTTAATACTTATTTTAATATCTCCTTGAACTGCTCTAATTGCTAAGCAGTGAGTACTGCTTGGCTTGCCTGTTAGTGTCTAGCACTGGGATAGGTACTACGACTGATCACAGTTAGGCTTTATGGAATCTGGTGTTCTATTTGGAACTTGCTCCCATGAAACAAATTAGGGAGTTACATAATATATTTTTATAATCCAGTGTTAAATTACTAGTTTAAAATTCAAAGCAAGGTTCTAGAAGGCACAGAGAATGGTACAGGCAAAAGTAGACTGTCCAAACAACCAGTCAAGCTCCTGTTATGTACAGATGGATCTCTCTGCTAGGCATTTTAGGCTCTCACAGTCCTTTGATTTAATCACAGCAATCTCTGGGAGAATTTATACAGCTTAAGGTATTTAAGATGCTTGTAAGGAAAGTACATTGGTGAGACTGGTGAGGAGCAGAGGATGAAGGGGACTTCAGGCAGACAATCATCCAAGCAAGGGTTTAGA